ACCCTGCTCCCCCAACTCAATGTACATCGACAAACAATGAAAATCTAGAATACGGGGATGATCTATCAGTTTGTGACTTTATTTTACCACGCAAATCGGTATGCATAAGAGACTTAGGTGGTAAAGTGCCTGTTTTAGTTTTATCAAGCCTGGCGCTTTATTTATTTAATGTCAATTGTACACTTCCTATGTCAGGTTGACAAATCATACTGAAAGGGTGTCTAACTGTGTCTTACTCATGCAGACTAGAACACAGTATGTAAACAGCGCAGTAATATCCTCAAATGCCATTGTCAAGCTTGTTTTCTCTTTGCAAATTGAAAGGATATTTTCCGGGAACACTCGAGTGCCATAATAACATCGAATTGAAAGCGAACTCAGCTTTCCCACCTGCGAGAATGACAATCATTTTTTCGTAAACAGGGCCATGCATAGACTGCACAGTTTGATCTTGCCATTTTCGATGTTGAGGACGGTCAAATACATGATAAAAATGTGGGTTTCACGAAAGTCTCCGACCTTCTGTCCGGTAATCACCCGATCGGCGAGATAAGCGTGCTTGATCAAAGCCGAGGCGGCACATCTTCTTCCCCGCAATGCCGTATGAATCAGACATTGCTGCCCTCAAGCGTAGAGTCTTGCAAAAACGAATACGGACTCCATGCATGTGTGTGCAAAACTTACAATTCCCTCGTTGGGAGAACCAATGAATTTATGATCCGAAGCCCAAGCACGCTAGACGACGTGATGACAAATCGACGATCGTCCGCGCCGCTCACACTCCTCACGAATCATGGACAGGCAACTCCACTATAGTTACATACTAATCTGGGCCTGGTCACAAGATTCTAATATTTAAGGCCATCAAACGGCAATTTGCGGCGATGGTTTGATATGACAGCTTCACAAATAAACGGTAATACATGTTGCAAGCTGGAGTGATTTGAGAGAGCTAGTGCAAAGAAACCATGAAGGTCGCCCTCGTTGGAGCATCTGGCGAGACTGGTAGGTCGATTGCCAATGCCCTGTTGCAGTCCGATACGAAATTTGTCAGTGTTACGTCCCTCAGGATGTACAATAATATTAATCAACTAATGCCTTGTCTCAGGAAGTCCTAAGCCTCATTCGAGAGTCATCTCGCGCCAAACCTATTAATATCGAATTGCAAAGTCAAGGGCTGAAATTGGTAGTCGTTAATCTTAATGGCTCAGAAAAGGAACTTGTCGCTGCCCTTTCTGGGGTTGACGTCGTCATTTCCACAATCGATGCCGGCCAATTATCGGCACAGATACCTCTTGCAAACGCTGCAAAGCTTGCGGGCGTCGGCCGATTCATACCTTGCTCATTCGGCACAATCGCGCCACCGAATGGAGTAATGGAGCTACGAGACATGGTATTGCTCTAATTCCGAGTATCAAAAGCTTCTTGCTAATATGGAGTGCATGTAGAAGGAGGAAATCATCAATCATATCAAGAAGATCAAGCTCCCTTATACAATTATCGATGTTGGCTGGTGGTATCAGATCTCTTTGCCACGATTACCATCCGGACGCATCAATTATGCTGTTATTATGCCAAAAGATACTATTGCAGGAGACGGAAACCAGCTCTCGGCTCGGACAGATCTGCGCGATATAGGACGTTACGTAGCCCGCATCATCACAGATCCTCGCACTTTGAATAAGTATGTTTTCGCATACAATGAACTTTGGTCTCAAAACCAGATATATGAGCTACTCGAGAAATTAAGCGGAGAGACATTAGAGCGGCAGTTGGTAGGTTGTACGAATCGGTTGTTAAATTGCATTGGCTGACATCAGTACCACTTCAGATTTCCGAAGACGAGTTACAGAAGGAAATCTCAGAAGCTAAAGATTCCAAAGATCCCTGGGCCAAGTCGAAAGTGTGGAGTCTACAGTATCATGTTTCCTGGGGAATCCGTGGTGATAATGTTCCAGAATATGCGAAGTACCTCGGCTATCTGGACACGAAAAATTTATACCCAGATATGAAGTGGACTAGTTTGGAAACCTTTGTAGCTGAGCTACTTGAAGGAAAAGGCATCGCTCCGTATCAGCATAAAACTCGTGGATAGATTGTCGGCCTACATGTTACACGTGCGAAGCTGCTCTCTTGCGCCTAAGCACTATCGACGGCCTGACGAAGCTTTTGGCCACGTTTATGTTTTTGAAGCAAACTTAATCTCAGACCGGTCTGTCGATACGTTAAATTTTAATCGTGTTTATCAACATTCAATGAAGCGCAATTTGCTATCTCCCTTCCTTACTCATCTCAGCATCTCGACCTTCCCATGGTTAGGGTTGCCAATATGCCTTTTTGTTGATTTTTGCCATGCAAAGTCTTTTACTGGATGATAGTACGTGAGGTTCAGTCAACATACTGATAGCAATATCAATTTAATTTGATTGTGGAATTTGAACACACAGTATCCGTGTGATGGGAATCGCTTTTAAAAAATCGGTATGACATCTCTATCTCATCGTCTAGCATAGTTGAATTATTTATCCCATTTAGACAGCTGTGAAATCAAGTCAACAACAGTTTCCCGGAACCTTCTATATTCTAACCCCAATTCGCGGGCAGCGGTCTCGCCATCTATTCCGTAAGACTCATCGATAGGCTGGTCCTCACGCTGCACCTTTCCTCGCGCCCAATCAAACTCTTCCTCCATGATTTTAGCCGCAAGATCGTATGAAAACCCCTCAGAAGGCACCGGGATAAAACGTCTGCCGCCTGCGCTTGGTCGCAATAACGCTTCTACATGGGCCTTGGCCAGATCACGAACATCGATCCAGGATGGTACGCGTGCTGTCGGCAATGGCTGTCCTTGCGCTACCTTCCACAGCATTGAGTTCGATTCGTTAAGCTTGTCCAAGCTGTCGACGGGATGGACAATGGGACCAAACGTCATAGAAGGACATAATGTTACGATGTCGAACCCGGGTTTCTGATCTCGCACAAAGTCCCAGGCTGCTTTCTCTGCAAACTTCTTCGCTCCACGGTAGGCGATATGAGCCGGCGTGTTAGGGGCAGCCGCATCCTCGTATGTTAAGGGATTCCAATCTTCGCTAGTGTAAACAAAGTATGGCGGTGCTTTGCGGTCGGCGTTCAAGACAGATGCAAAAGACGAAGTCATGACAACTCGTCTGACCTTCCCTTTCGCCGACGCCTCTAGAATAGCCTTCACACCGTTAATCGCAGGGATGATGAGCTCTTTCTCATTGTCTTTTGTATCGTACGTGAGAGGCTAGAGGAGCAAATGGTCAGCAACGTATTCTCAAACATGCCCAGGTACGTGGACTAAGTAGCCTGGCTATCTGAAGGGCTCGCTCACACTGGCGACATGGATTACGGCGTCAATATCTTTGACTGCATCGTCAAGCCCGCCAGGGTTCTCAAACCCATCGATCTGGACGAAGTCGAGCGATGATGCGAACTGTGGCCGGGCCTGAATCATAGCTTGGCCTTTCGCAAGTGATCGAGTAGCACCGCGGACTTTCAAGCCTCGACTTAATAGCTGATCGACTATATGAGCACCGATGAATCCCGTGGCTCCGGTAACGAGCACATATTCTCTGTAGTCCACGATTAGCTTATCTCCAGTCCGATGTTCGACAAGTACTGAAATCTTACGGAGATTGAGCCATGATGTTTGAGCAGACCACCTAGGTAGATACGTGCAACACTACGATATTAGGAGAAACGTGGGCAGGCCGACTGTAAATGCCAATTTTATCTAGACGTCAGGTAGAATTCCCAGCCGAGCCGCTTAAGTATGATCATGCTGGTGGGTGACGCGCAGGGAGGCTCAGGCATGTTCCACTGTTTTCAGTCTCGAATTCCGGGCACATTGACGCCATGTGGGCATGTCACTGGAGACGCCCCAGACTCGCCCACTAACTACCCCACCACGGTAGCCTATAGATAATTCATTACTCCCGATCTCGGCGAACAGCGCTCGCTACCATAGGTAGCTTCCCCTCATTGTCAGATACCAATACCCTGAGTTCTGGTGGGTGGGCAACAAATCGTACTATATCTATATACCTAGAGAGAGCATTTACCCTTATCCGCTCTCCACGTACACTATCCGCCTCAATTCTATCAGTCCTTTAACTCGCGACTATGACACTTAGTCTGTATGTATGATGACTATACTATTTTGGCGGCATAGATTTACGCACGTATTGCTCTTAAATAAATATACGAAGCCTTTGAACCGTGGTTATAATTAGCCATTCAATTCCAAGTAGTCACCATAACAAGGTTCAGGAATTCATTAGACTTTACTTTCACGCTCTCTTCAAGGAAATCAACTACGCGTATCAATGATTTCAGTGACACAGGAATAAAATCCATTTGACTGAAGATCACCGAGAAATGCAGTGTTTCTGAGAAATATGAAGTACATATTGTTGCTTCGTGAAAAGGGTGCTAGTTTCGGCTGAGGGGAAGCTGCATCGCAGTATCATTATACCGATTCAGTTGCGTTGCCCCATGCGGCCCTCTTAGCCCTATCAATCGAGGTCTCGTAAGTGGCAAACTTCCTAGTCGGAACGTGGAGCTCAAACATCTCATCGAGCTCTACATAAGACCTGTTCTTGGTCTCGGGAATGACAAACCACATAATCACGACAAAGACCGCCGAAGTCGAACCGTAGAAGAACATAGTGGCCGAGACGCCAAAGTTGGGAGACGATAGCATGAGCGGCGTACAATAGGTGGTGACCAGAGACAGGAGAGCAAATGCGAGCGCGCCCATATTGGCAGTCTTGGCTCGGAGGATGGCAGTAGAACAGTCGGCAAGGAAAGTAAAGCCCAAAGGCCCTGCCGATGAAGAGTAGGCTGCGACCCAAATACAACTAATACATGTTAATCATTGTCCAGAAAACACGGATGTATGGTTGACTTACGACATGGCAATCATGGCAGAACCATTGGTGGTACTTTTGGGCAGTTTCATGATGCCGCCAATGATGAATAGAAGTGGCACCATGAACGCGCCGCAGTAGACAAGCAATGGACGACGACCGATGCGCTCTGTGGTGTAAAAGCTGATAGCGACAAAGGCGACGAGGACACTGTTAACGGCAACAGTGGCGATAAATGGCTTCGCGATGCCAGCCATTTGGAAGAAGTACGAGGTGTACGAGAAGAGCACCGGGGCACCGTCCCAAAGCTGGTTGTTGAACGGCACGAGAGAAACGATCGTTCGGCGCTGGAAATTAAAGATTAGAATTTGCTTCATCGCAGCTAGACAATGAACTCACAAGGTTTGTACCGCGGAAGCAGTCCATTACTGTGACACCCTTCTGATTATTGGCAAGCACCTTTCCATCCTCGATCTCCTTGAGGATGATCGAGTACTCATGCTCGAGATCGTAGTTTGGAACATTGCCATAGATTTGTTTCATAATCTTCTTAGCCTTCTCATGGTTCCCCCTCTGGGCATGGAAACGGGGCGTCTCGGGGATGAGAAGCAGAACGATGATGGCGGCCCCAACGAAGAACCACATTGAATAGACTGCGTGACGCCATTTGTCAACGGGCATCTGGGACACAATTTGTAGTGCTATGGCAGCAGCAAATGAACCAATTGCCCACTCAAGAAGGTCAGTATTGACTACAGCAGAGCTGTCCAGAGATATCACTTACGAAGAGTTGGTAAAATCCAAGAGCTGCACCACGCGCCCGAGTAGGGGCGATCTCGGAGATGTAAGTGGTAGCAGTCATCTGGTTGCAGCCGACCGAGAAACCCTGTCTCGTGTTAGTCATAAAGCTTTTGTCATCATTTTAACACGGATTTTCTCACATTGAGAATTTTAGCTGCAAGCCAGTGAGTCCAGTTGGTGGCAAAAATCTCGATGATAGCGGCAATGATCATGAAGATCTGTACAGCCCACAGCGCTGGCTTACGACCAAAGCGGTCGACTGGCCAGTTACCAACAAGAAGAACAACGACTAGAGCACCGGCGTATACACCTGGACATCTTGTTAGTCAATTGACTCCGGGCGGCGTTCTGCAACGTCTTCAGGACTGAACTCACCACCCCAGGCCGCGACATGCTGCGGATCAAGCTTGTATGCGCCTGTCTTGGCATCCTCATAGCCCATCTGCTTGATAAAGCCCTTAAGGGCAACGATGTTGCCGGGCATCTTGTACTGATATCCATCGCCCATGGCGCAGATACCACAGGCAAACGAGATAGCCATAGCGCGCCAAAAGTGTTTTAGGGTCTGCCAGAATGTCCAATTCGCATAGTTGGACACTTCGTGCGAGTTGTCCGTGACGAAGTTGACAGCCTTGGCAGCATCGATAGCATCGCCGTCGGTGCCCTCAACGTGGGTGACTTCGTTGGGGGGAAGATCACCCTTTGTCGTATCGACAGCGGCAGGAGCAGTTGAGGTCGTCATGGCGGAGGTGGTGATGGTTGTCTAAGGGCAGGAAGGAAGAGACGGCAAACACGTCTCGGGCCAGCCAAAGAGGATTCAACGAGATTTAATAGATGCCATGAGAATCTACTAGCCCTTGACCCAGGGGTAATTCGAGAGATCGGCAATGTGTTCCCTATGGCTGTCACTCAAAAGCTGCTTACGAGGGCCGTCGGGTCCCCCATGGGGTACATGTGGACGCTAAAGACGCCAACCCTCAGCTAGCTCTATCAGTGCCCTTCAGCCCGGACTCGCTAGGAGTTTAGCTCCATTATTTCTCCACGACCCCAGCGTTATCTCGGCCAACGAGTCAGGCGACGGAATGTCGGAGTCATGAATGCACGCTTATTAGCCCAATTACAGCGCTGACATTCAACAAGGATTCGAATGCCCAGCGAGGGGAAGCAGGTTTCGTACTTGAGTCAAGGACATGCCATAACTAATTAGATGAATACTATAGCAGTTAGTCGGTCGACTATTTCTCACGTAGTATATCTGACATGCGTGTACCAGCGTCCGAACCGGGATCATGTGAACGCCATAGCCGTTCACCATAGCCGTCCGAAATCGCTTCACGATATTCAGGGTTTCATCGTAGTACTTCAACTTTCGCTTCTGATGCGCACTTGCATTTCATTCGCGTCGCGTCCATGACTTCATTCTCACCACTAGCAATTATTCGCGATCTGAACCTTCAAAATGCCTTCTCGCACTGATGCCCCCGTTGTCATCCGCCTCTCTGACGAGGAGCGTGATTCGGGCGTGATGTCCGATCATCACCTCTACGATGCGGTCGAGGCTTTTTTTAGCGATGGGTTTGTGGTGTTGGAAAACGCTGTGCGGGAGGATATGATTGATGCCTTGAACGATAGAATGCTCAAGGATACAGACAAGCTCATGGCCGGGGAGGGCCTGTCACATTTCGCGTAGGTCATACCAGAGAACAAGCAAATCCAGGAATAGAAGAATCAGCAAATGGAGAGATTGATAGCTAATAGAGGTATTGCTGTAGACCTCTGAACAACAAAGTCGCGCAGAATGGTGCTAAGGCTGGTGGAAACCTCTCTCAGGTGCCACCCTTAGAAAAGGGTAAGTCGCTACAAAAAATTCTAGGAGTTTCCGACTTGTATGGCTGGTTTTCTAATAACAGGCTTTAGAATGGCTTTCGCCCGAGGTTTTCGCCAACAAGCACGCTGCTCGTGTCATATCTTACATTCTCGGCCCCAAGCCTGAGGTTCATTTTCTTCGATCTAACACGCTCTTGAACAACGATGACCGCCAGCGCGTCCATTCAGATATGCGGTTCGAGCATCCCACGCATCCGTTTGCTATCACCCAGAATGTTTGCCTGTGTGGCTGTGGTCCTGAGAACGGTATGACCGAGCTGTGGCTCGGAACTCAGAATACAGGTGTCGAGATTCGGCCACAGCTGGGTGAGCCTTTCATCGACGAGGCAGTCGTAGAGGAGAGGAGAAAGATCAGGCCGCCTCTCTACCCGAGGGTGAAGAAGGGATCAATCTTGGTGCGAGACTTACGTCTATGGTAAGTGTTCTAACTGGCACTGGACGGACCTCGTTTCCCCTATTTGTATTTTCTCGATCCGTCATTGACTGAATTTAGGCATGCTGGAATGCCCAACCCTACCGATAACGTTCGCATTCTTCTTACAATCAACTACTACGCCGGGTGGTTCAAGAACGGCGCACTTGTCACCTTCCCGGAATCCCTCAGATCCCATGTCGCTTCCCTGGAGGAATACGCGGACATTAAAATCGCCGCGACCTACGAGCCCGATGAAGGCTTCAATTACCTGAACACCAAATTCAGTAACAACTTTAGCTCAGTTCTACACCCTGAAGTTTGGGAGAAGATTGCCCATGTGAAAACCGCCAAGGATTACTAGATGATGTTGCTGGATAACGTCAAATTTAGTAGTCGGAGGTAGATGGTGTAAAATGATAGAAAACCCTTCGATAGAGTTTGTGTATGATATAGTGGTGAAACACACAAGAGCAAGAGAGGAAACATACAATACCATAAATTTACTCATTTCATACTCCCTAGAGGGTGTTTAGACCTTAAAGTCCGTAAAGTAGACGAACTTCCCAGAATCTGCCTGAGCAGCCCCTTGTAATCCCACCCTAGTGCCATGGCAGCCAACAGTGTTAAGCTTGCCTGATCATCACGGCCTGGACGGCCGGGACCGGTCATGTTCTATCATCAAAAACATCAGTATGAGCTCTGGAAGCCGAAACCATTCATTCTATGCATACTGGTTTAAGGTTCAGATCAAAAAGGGCGAACTTTGAGTCAGGCGAATCCTTAAGTCGCCGAACATCAATGCGGATTGGAGCCGTCACGCCCAAAAGCTGAGCTGCTTGCTCGCATTCCTTTGCCACCTCGTGATAAGTCTGATTATGTCGCTCGGTAGTCAAGATGGCGCGGGAGTTCGCAGTTACGGCGACCACGCCATTATAAGGTGCAATGCCGTCGATGTGGTTGAAACGAGTGACGACCGGGAGAGACCAATAGTTGTTTTGTCCCCTCGTAGGCGGCATTACCGTAACAGTTGCCTCTTCGCCCGCGAGAAACTGTTCAATCATAATCGCAGGGGATTCTTTGAACAGAGACTGCGCATGGGCAATCAGATCATGTTTGTCTCGGCAAAGACGCACCCCGTGGCTTCCTCGCCCTCGTATAGGCTTTGCAACCACTGGATAGTCAATACCCTGACTCTCTATGTCATCCCGAAGTACTGAGCTCTCGCGGAGCGACCAAGAACGGGGCATTGTAAAGGCCCCGTCTTGACGTAGCATATTGTTCACGAGCTCTTTGTCGTCGTATTTCTCAACAACAAGAGGGCCATGACCTACAACTCGAACACGATCCTGATAGTCCCCGATCTTAGAAGATGTTTGAAGAGGATGAGATGCGAACAGAATGGTATTGGCCCATAAGTGAGTGGCACCCTTCTCGAGTGCCTTAAGTATGCCATCCTCAGTATCTGGAAAGCACCAGTCGGACTCTCTCACTGGGCTTGGGTGTGAGACAGGGGTAACAATGCGTGTATCTTCGCAAGAGCTCAAATTGTACGCAATGTCGCTTCCGGAATCCTGATACCCTAATGATTAAGCGTCAATTGTGCTCAAAAAGAAGGATAGCTGGATCGAACCTCCGGGCTTTTTCGGCTTGCGCACGCCATTTATGATCGGGGGTTCAATAGATTGGTATAGGACAGCGACGCGCGACTCAGCCGGCGCGGTGGAAGGGTCTGTCCTGTATCGCCGCAGACAGCATACTCGATTGCTAAAATGGCCGACGGTGGGCAGTCTACGTGGTGCGATGCACGACAGAGCGGTGCATCTTTCTATTAGGGGATATAATGATCGATTAAGGGCGCACATTGTCCGTACCTTTGGTCAAAGGAGTGTCCGAAAATCCTCTTTGCACATTCCACTTGAATCCAAAGGTTTCACCAATTGGAGGGCTGCAACGGACATCTCGGTGGCTACCGGAGATTGTCCCGGTGACCGCCCGCCAGTCTCGGCTTTACCCCGATGGCATGAATATGGACTCAACGATATCATCGTATTCTTGACAAAATTCCAAGAGCACTTTCGTAAGACCTAATGCAACGTAATCAATGCTACAAAGTCTACCGTTGAGTTGCTATGCATCGTTCAAACTGTAAATGCGCCTAAATCAGTAGTAGTTGCATGGCCGTCGCCAGCCATCCAGTCCAGGTCGAACCAGGTACTCATATCACCAAGCTCATTGAGGAAGAACTCGGGCTCGAAGCCAAATGCATTTTGCCCAGTGTCTGTTGCACTAAATGTATACGCCGCTGACGGTCTTTCCGTGTTGTGTGACTCGGAGTTTAGATCGATATGGTTTGCCCCTCCTCCGACAGGATTTATATGCTGCGATGCCTGGGATAGATACATCAGCGACTCTTTGGCCGAAATGTCAGTGCTCTGACTTTCGTGAGTGGTCTTCCAGGATTTGGTAGTGTGCTGGACCAGCCGCTCAAACTTCAGAACCGCATCTGCAGCTACTCCCCAAGACTTGCCCAGAAACCTTAAAAGTGTTGTACAAGAGGCCGCTGTACTTGTAAAAGCTGGTAGTGTCGTTTCAGCCTTTATCTGAGGGCTGATCCAAAGGCAGTACAGAAAGGTGATCCCACTGACAAAGACAGTGTGCGCCGTAGTCCAGCTATTGATGAGCTTTGAGAACCTATGCAAGTCTGAATAGATCAATATTGTCTTAACTGCACTATTGTAACATATATGCAGAGAACTAAAACTCGGTCGTGAAATAGCTGGCGATGGCCGGTGGAGCAGCATCAGGCTGTGATGATACTTTAGCTCCAGAGATTGAATGGTACTATCGGACGTGCTACGTCGCGAGCGCCCCTTGAGATCTCTTAAAAGGCTTTCGACTAAAGTGTCGCACTTATTGTGAGTTTCTTGCTGCCACGCTGGGAGGTCCGTCGGCCATGGGAAGCTGTTTGGGGAATTGACTACACGATAAAGCATCAATTTGCACTCAGCAGTGATGCGATCGAACCGAAAAGAGTACTGCGAAGCAGTAAATGGGGAGTAATCCACTCTGGTTCTCTTCTGGTTCTGTGCCTCGCTTCTGTCGAATTGTGCTGTGAGACCGTTGTTAACACCTTGTGAGGCAGGGGCTAAAGGGTACTCTTCCCCGGGAAGTTCGACATCTATCGCTTCATCTCGCAGTGTGAGAGGGCGACCTAAAATGACGGATAAGGTTCGTTCTAAAGAATATGCCGACCAAAATATTCCGCTTCGAAGATTTTTACTCGCTGAATAACGGTGGCCATCCTGGCGACTGAATTCGCGAGGGGGACCTGTCCACCGTCTTTGAAGGCCGAGATCGAGACAGCTGGCAATCATATTCGATATCAAGAACCACGCATTTGGTCCATTCTCGAAACAAAAACTCGATAATGTGAGAAGAAGCATGATTTGGAGGCCCTCCATGCTGTCATGCAGTGGGAGATTACCCATGCGTTGCATAGCAGTTGCTAGATACCTTTCCGAAGAGAAGTCTGCAGAGAGCCGAGTTTCGAGAATTCTTGCACCCAATGCAATTATAAGAAAGATTTGTACAGATTGGAATGGAGATAGTGATGCTTCCACCTCTGCTAGCTGAGGCATTTGCAACGAGTGGAGTGCCGGAGACTGCTTGGTGAAGAGAATCTCTAGTCGATCTGCTACAGCGTCCTCGTCGAGGAAAGGGTATAATGGTTGGTAGGTTTCGAAATATGCATCGACGAAATGTTGCAGGTCTACCTCGGAGGTCCAATGCTGAGGGAACGGTTCAGCTTGCGCGGGCTTGCTGCGTGCGAGAACATCTGATGAAGCCCAACTGGTCGGCAAGCCCTGCGATTGTGGGACAGCGGAAAATATCAATCGAGCAAATGGAACCCCAGAGGATGGCCCAAGATACTTGGACTCTTTCGAGTTTGCTAGAGATAACAAGCCCACCTCATGCGCCAATGGCTCGCTCGGTCCGATCTGAGTTGATACAGCTGACGGACTGGCAGATACAGGAGCTGCAACTGGAGAGCCACCATCGTGAAGTTCATTAGAGACGGCGGGCCGAAGCTGATCAGCATGGTCCGGCTCGGAATTGAAGTTGTTCTGTATGTTGTTGCCTATCCAATTTGGCCCTTCTATAGTAGATGAAGGTTGCGCTAGATATGCCTCACCAATGTCGAGCGAGCTGAGGTCTACTATCGGTGCCTTTTCAAGCTCATCAGGTGCTACTCGGCGCAATGAGTCTTCAAGTGACCGGAGTCGAGACTCAATCTGCACAATATAGCTTTACAACCATGTCAACCTTCCCGCGATGATCATATTTACCTGTAACTGAGACTTAGGTCAACCAGCACGTACCTGATTGCTTCTGCAGTATTATTAGACTTGACTCTCACGCATGGCTGGCCTGCCCTTTTGCAATTAGCACAGGATGGCCGACCATCGTCACAACGTATCTTCTGGCTCCGGCACCGGGCACAAGCCGTTCCTTTCTTTCGACCAGGACCCTGTCCGGGGTGGGACTGAGGTCGGTTGATACGGGACGGCTCATCACCGTGAGTAGCAACCGAGCTATCCATGGGTCAGTGTAGCCGCCTCATCTGTCACAGCAATGTCGGAGAGAAAGCGAAGTCGGTCGTGGTTGTCTGGGGAAATGCCGTTTATCTATGTTTGTCTGCAACAAGTTCTTCGGCTTATGCCCGAGGCTAAGGGTGTGCGCTAAGAAAATATAGTGCTTTGTATCGAACTACTGAATGATGCACCTGTCTCGATGGCGCTACCGGCCCGGCGCAGAGCTTTGGGTCGCTGTGAAGAGAGCCAATGAATCTCGACACCCAAGAAGGGGAATCTAGGAAGCGATTTTGTCAGTCGAATTCTTTGGCGGTTGCGGGATTCATATAACAGATTTATAGCAGAGTTACGATTGTATTGGTGATTGGGGATTTTAGGGAGCCGTATGTAAGATCTGATTATCCTTTTCCAGCCGAATTGAGCACCTCAGTCATAAAGCGTGTAATGGACTGAACGTATACATCCACCGCTCGCATCTTGAAGATTGTGAGTTCTAGTTTTCCAGCATTCTCGGCAACAAACCTTGTGTATTCATCCCGAACTGTCCTATTCACGTTGATCTTAATCATCCCATACTTCTTTGTTAGTCTGAAGAGCCCATCAGAAACCTCATGAGTTCCGTGAAGAACGAGAGGGATATCAGCAATCGCTTGATGAACCTCCATAAGCCTGGAGATTACACCAGTTAATAAAGAGTGAAACTGAAAAGTTGCAGCCGAGTAGGCTGTAGTATATGGCCGCGTGGTACACAACTCACAATGGTAGTTTCCATGACGACTCGGGCCTCACTGGACCGTAGTGGCCATGGATATTTCCAAAGGCAGGTGCGAGAAATTGGACCCCTGTTTTCTCCACGAACTCTCTTGCATCATCGGGCCTGGTGAAGATAGCCTCCATGTCCACCGTTGGTAAGCCATCCTCCCCTCCTTCAATGCGGCCCATTTCCGCCTCGATTGCAATTCCTTGCGCATTGGCAATGTCGACTATCGCCTTGCAACGAGCGATATTCTCCTCCGGTTCTAAAGTCGATGCATCGACCATGATAGAATCGAATGGCAGGGTCAGAGCCATGTCAACATCAGTTGTTTCGATGCAGTGATCGAGGTGGACCGCGATCGGCACACTAGCAGCATGTGCGGCTTCGACGACATACTTGACAAAGTGAGGGCTTTGGAATTTCATTGTCCATGGAAATAATTGAATGATGGCTGGCGACTTGCACTGCTCTGCCGCCCAAATCACGGCCATCACTCCGTCGTCGTTGTAACTGAAACGCATATTAGTCTAATACCACAGCCAGAATATTGTGAATGATTGCCAACCAATTGTATGCTCCCACTTGATAATCTCCCTTGGCTGCGGCGTGCAGTATCTGCCAAGTTCGATTATTCTGAGGAAACATGGCCATTTCTGAGCTCGGTCGTACCACAATGAATCATGTTTCTGGTGCTTTGACTGTTGGCTGGCTTGTATTTCTTTAGTATCATCATTACTTAGCATCTATAACACGATCGGGACAATGCCGATGTAAGGTATTTTGTGGGGTTGAGGTTAGCGGTGTCTACCTAGGTATTGTATCTCGAGGCCGCATCCTCATTTCGTTGCTAGAGGCATCATCACAGGCAATGCTTTTCCTCGGTGAAGAGTCAAAAGATATATGGCATGAACATGAAGGATCTCCTGGCTGAACTCTCCTGGCATTCCTGGATATGTCCTTCGGTTTGATTTGCCTATGACCCTGAACCAATCTTGCCCTGAAACCCCATTGCCTCAAAACTCTCACGTTTGCACGCACGTCGGAAAAGTTGTCCATGTATCTATCGATTGATATATTAGGATACATATGATGGACATGACTTCTTGAAGAGAGGCCAATCGCCATTCTTCTCCTCCAGCATTTCCCTGGAGCTTGTGGGCTGCCTCGGAAGACGAAGCGATTCGCGTAGGTGGCCAACAAGTTTCACGCCACTGGTCCCAGACGCGCAAGGTACCTGGGCATTGCTAACCCCACAGGCTCTCAGCCACACTGATGACATCAACCTGCGACGCAAACAAGCTCGCATTCGCGATGGCAAGCTACGAGACGCAGCAGCACCTGCTTCGGTTTGCTTGCGCAAAGCCACAGCTGCGTGCGTGCTGATCGAATAGGTGCATCTGAGAATCCTGAATCCTGATAGCGAGTAGACTAAATAAAAGCAGCCTCGTCGCCAGTTTTATCTTTCTCTCGCCATCGAGCAACTCAGTGATTACCCCACCATACTGAGTACAGAACAGACCCCCCGCCAACTCACAACATCGCAACATCCCACACAATTCCAGACTCCTGAGAATGAGCGGCGAGAAACAGCAGACTGGCCAGGTTCCGGCCGCAGCGCCGACCGACTTTTACCCTCCTCCGCCACCAGGTCCACCCCCAGGAAATAATGGCCTTGCTCAGCATCCGAATGAAACACCCATGCAGGAGTATCATCCCCAAGCCTACAACTCCGCCCAGCCGCAATTCGCACCTCCTCCTTCAGAGCAACTGTACGACGACGAGCCAGAGCCACAGCATCATCACCACCTCGGTCATGGGCACGAACACGCTGCCCATAGCGAGGCTGCCCCGGCGGAAGCGCAAACAGCTGGGGCCAAGGTAGGATGGGGACAGCGTCTATCAGCGCTGGGGCAAAAAGCCGCCGTGCCTTTCAACACCCTCGCGAGCAAGCTAGGGTCCGAGACATTCCTCCCTACCACCATGGATAAGGAGTGCGAGAAGGCGGCGAGAATATTGAGAAGCTTCTGCAGTAAGTCTAGCTCCTCACAGGAAGCACGTCACCAATGGTATGCTAACAATTGCCTTCAAGAGGATGGCATTTACACCGACACCAACACGGCTCCACCCGTGGAGACAGCCGATGGTAAAGCGAAGTCGAAACCCAAGTCGCGAACGCTTCTTACAATCCCATCGAAGGTCATCAATCGCGCCGTCGGTCTGGCGATCTTCACCACGGCCCGTGCTGGCTTTCATGTCACCGGCGCGACCGGATCTGGTGTGTTGATTGCCCGGATGTCTGATGGCAGCTGGTCACCTCCTTCGGGCATCCAGGTGTACTCTGTCGGCGCAGGATTTGTCATGGGCATTGATATTTATGACTGCGTGGTGGTGATCAACACAAAGGAGGCTCTAGAGGCCTTCACAAGAACCCGCATGGCGCTGGGATCGGATCTGGCAGTTGTCGCCGGGCCATGGGGTGCCGGTGGCAGCATCGAATTTGCCGCTCCAGCGTCAGAGGGCAAGGACAAGAGCAAAGCGTCTGCGGTCGAGGGTGGCGCACCAAGTGCCGCGGCTCCCCACCAAGGACATCCGGTCGAGCCTGTTCCTCCTGGCGAAAAGCCCCCGTTAGCTACGGATGTCCCAGTAGGCGGTCCCTTGCCCACCGTGAACGAGCCACAGGTTACGACTGGGCCTGAAACGACGACTACAAGCAAGACTAGCACTGCAGGCACGAGCAAGGATCGCAAGCCTTCGCCATTTCGACAAGCAATCTCGAAGCCGGTATATTCCTACGTCAAGTCTCGCGGCTTCTATGCCGGAGTTCAGGTTGATGGTACAGTCGTGACGGAGAGGAAGGATGCTAACGCAGCTTTCTATGGCACTGCTATCCCGGTCGACAAGATCCTCAAAGGCGAAGTTCCTGCCCAGGGACCTGGCGGTATGTGGCCCGCTGCGTCGAAGCAGCTTTTTGATGTCGTGAGAGGCGCCGAGGGCTGGAGAGGCCAAAATCAAGCCTCCACCGCGCCGGTCCCTCCCCCTGGATCAGTTCAGGCTCCCGCGGGTCAGCACGCTTTTGCCCCTTCACCGGTAGCGGGATATTCGCATCAACCTGATCCAAGTGTCGCAGGAGCTACCGCTGGAGTACAACACATAAACCTTGGCCCGTCAGGTAACAAGGCCGATGAGGCTGCCGCTCATCAGGAGCCTCCGCCACAGAGCGCAGCGCCGCCTTACAGTGAGCCTGCTCATACCGATGAACTGCCGCCTGCTTACGTCGATGACGGTCAGGTTAGGCCTGGTGTTGGTGATACAAAGGGGCATCAGTAGGTTGTTAGTTTACAGATGAAGGAGATTAGATCATGATGATTATAACGATGTTTGTACACTTGCGTCGGTGTTACGGTTCGAAGCGGTGGATACCAGGAAGACTGATCACTAGTGTGTAATGATAACCCTAGCTAGAATTCAAAGCATTCTCTTTCCTACATCATCTCTGCTGCGTTCTGTTGCACTCCGTTTGTGATCGTTTGGGACTCAAATGCGAGGCAGAGGTCAATCTGCGGGAAGCCGAAACACGGCACTAGGCGACTGTAGGTGTAGCACTTCGCACAGCATTCTGTTTGCCACAAATGACTTACCTCTCCATATGTGACTGTGTTTGTTCTTTGTGTACGTGAAGCTCACAAACTCCTTGTATAATTTGTTAAGGACTAAAGCAGAGCCCATGTGCGCCGTAAATCTACCTCGGCATGAAATCGTCCGAAAGCAAAGTCTTTATGGAGCGGCCTCTGAACGCCGCAATCCCCTTTCCCACTAAGATCGCCGGCTGCGTCTATATTCGAGACCAACAACTCAGCTCCGTTCCGTCGGTTTGCCATCAGTGACACCTCATATGCGCGTCATTTTAAGATCCACGAAGAAGAGAAAAACTTCCGAAGTGCTTCTCATGTGACCTAACTAGGCCGTTGCAGCAAAACATGCTACTGCGCATTCTAGTATACCATTAATTGATACGAATATTATGGTGTGGCTAGACGATGGCAGTCTCTAATATGCTGCGTAGCCCTCCCCCTGAATTAAGGCTCCCCAGCAGATGTACACCGTTGAACACCCTTTCCGACTTACAGCTTGTGCTAATTTAATTCTAGAATATCATGCGCTGGCTGTGCTGTCCTTGATCGCGTGAATAATACAATCTGATTAAGCCCTCCCATACTGAACCGGTACCATTAACTTTATGCACGGCGTCTCGTTGTTCTGTCCAGCTTTATTCGATTGACATTTGTTGGCGGTCAGGCGGTTGGTCGCATGCAAAGGTACCTCAATCAACAGATGTCGATGTCAAAACGATCTTAATCAATTTTCGGTATACAAATATCCGGAAGACTTGGTACGCCGCGTGGCATGCCTTATCAAATTGAATATCTGTGAATCACCGACGTGGATCATTTGTACAGACGGTGCCCGCTTGAGCTAAAGAGACCAACACGAACTGCCTCAAAGCAGAAGCTTGTGATCCGGTTTTGCTTGGTTTTGCTCCGCAAGTATGAGTCTCCTCCTGCGTCTCAGTGGAGGCATCCTTAGGGGCTGGCAAGATTCCACTGTAACAACCAAGCTTCAGGGGGATCTGCACGCCCCAGTCTGCTATTTCTATGCCGTTGAAAATCTTGAAAGTGACTCGCCGCCAACCACATACTGCAACCTGACCTGACCGTTACAACGCGTAAACCAAGCATGTGCAGAGCCCAATGGTAGTGTGCTTGTTTAAAATAGAACGGTTCACTTCATATTAACGGATCGGTCCCACTGGCGTGCTGGAGTGTATTCTGAAGCCTAGGATCGCTGGTAGGTGCTGATCTCTAAGCGGACAGTCTTTAGATACCTACAGGTACTACACGAAGAAACAAGGACGGCGACGAAGCAGATCCGAGCCCGTCCAACCTCCGCTCACTCAAGCTTTAGGTCACGGAAAGCGGCAACGAAATGTGGCGTAAACAGACCGATTGCATACAGCCTTTTCCGCCTGCATTCTTGGCAGCATGTTGCATAGAGTAGAGGGCCTTATCAGTGGGGAGCATTATCAAGAAAGCCTTCAGACTTTGTGTATCTTCTTCACCCACGTCCATCTCACACCAATTTTCGATACAATCTCTAGTCCACCTCGAGACCAAGGAAGCCCCCGAGAGCCTACCTGGGTATCTGGGCATGCTTCTAGGGGGTAGCTCAAGCAAGAGATTTGCGCTCGTATCTGCCAAGTTTACCAATGTACACTTCTGGTGATGGACGCTTTGTGACGGCAGTTGAGAATACTTGAGACTACAGAAGGCAAACTACCGGTCTTAATGCAACCCTCCTGCCAGGGGCGGCGGGTAAGGTGGACCCCGCCACCCCAACTTTAAGGGGGAACTCCTCCCGCGAATGGGTACTCTAGTATCGCACCTTGGCACAGCCTGTCCCTGTCGCCTCCATGGTCTTCATCAAAACCGCCAATTTACCAGGAACGGTTGCACTCATAATCTCGCCGCAACGGCAGAAGAGTAAAGTAGCTCCGGTCCGCATGGTATTTCCAGCGCTGAGGTAGGATGTTCTGAGGCTGCGAGAATGTCGTTATTGCTGTTTATTCCTTTCCCTGCTACCAGGCAATTTAAGCCTAATACCACATATCAGCTTCCGTGGTGCCGTTGTAAGTTCACTCTCTTCCTCCACCCCTGTCCCTCCATGTTAGCTGGGGCTTGCCGTCATTTTGATCATTTTTAATCCATCTTATTCTTCATTCTGGTCCTTTACTATTTTCTCCTCCCTTTGCTGGTGTAGCCGCATTCTTCTCCTGAGCCCTTTGCTTCAGTACCTAGGACTGGTTCTACGCCCTGCCTTATGGTCGTCCAGGGCATATCTGAGATCTATTCTCCGTAGACCTGGGTATATAGCTTTCTCTCACTTCATATTTAGCCGTGCTGTTGGCGTTCACAACTTCGGCTATTGCTCATCGTTTGCCCCGCGTTGTCGCTACTCGCAAAGGAGGTACAGGTTAGATCCCGGCCGTTTTAAGACAGCTTCAAGCTATATTTACGATTGTTACGATTTCTTTTCGCACAAGCTGCTATGGGGGTCAACATGGGTCAGTCATATCGCATCTTCAGCATGCGGAATCCTTTCGCACGAGCCGTTCTACTCACCCTCCTCATTCTCGCACTCATGAGCATAGGTATGAGGCGAGATACATACAATGTACAGGGCGCAGTTATGAAGGCTGCCGGATCAGCAAAGCAGTCCGTGTCGTCACAACTTCCCCTAGAAGACAATACAGTCAAGAGTGGCAAGCAAGTGGCAGCCGACTACCCCGTTTCGAGATCAAACCATAGCATCACAATGAATTGCGACTATGATACCGATCACCTCAGTGTCTTACAGGACAAGTACGACCTCGGCGATCAGTTCGAGTACTATAAAAGGTACATCAAGATTTCGCGCCAAGACATACAGAGGAAATCCATGACGAAGATCAAGCAAAAGTTTTTGCCAAAGAACACGAAGACCATTGACCTGAAGAAAAAGTTTTGGAAGGAAACCTGCCCCGAGCCTCTGACGGTGCCTGTCACGAAGTCCGCCTATCCCGGAACAGCAAATCTTTCTGACTTTATTTTTGGCGTCTCTACAACATTCAAGCCTTTCAACGCTACCAAGACCAGTCCTATCAACGAATGGTCCCATTGGCTCACAAATCATCGAGGGCATTCAAACGGAGGCAAGCTCCTGCTTTTGTTGTTGGATGCCACGGATGACCAGCTTTATGATGCTTGGAGCAGACTTCGCGAGCGCGGCATTGACGCAGACGTGTATCACTCCGATCCGTCTATGGAGATGGCTGTACGCTACTTGACCATGGTTCCGGCGTTATACAACCACGAAGACCGGCCCGGCAGGAAATGGATAGTGACTTGCGATGACGACACATTCTTTCCTTCTCCGAATGCCCTCGTGGAGAAAATGAATACGTACGACCACACTCAACCGCTTTATATCGGTACCTTCTCCGAAGATGTCAACAACCTCGATCGTCACGGGTCACAAGCATTTGGAGGTGCTGGTGTGTTCCTCACCGTGCCAATGGCTGAAGTTATCAACGATAATTATGATAGCTGCGGCTCCGAGCAGAAGGTCCATGAATCAAATTCTGGATGGGGACCTCAGGGCGACATTCTCCTTCGTAAATGTATTTATGAGAACAGCGAAGTGCGACTGTCCACCATCTGGGATCTCTGGCAGCTCGACCTCAACGGAGACCCATCGGGCTTCTACGAAAGTGGCATCAAGCCTCTCTCCCTGCATCATTACCGTGGTGGCGGTTGGCATACGGCGTTTCCCTTCCAATACACTAAGATCGCGCATCTCTGCGGCGAGGACTGCACTTTGCAACGCTTCCAGACGGAAGACGACTTCGTGATTTCTACTGGCTTCAGCATTGCACAGTATCCTCAAGGACTCGACACTATCAATTTCGATCAGTTCGAGCAAACCTTCCACGCTGCTCCTGAGAACAAGGGCTGGAACCTAGACTTCATGTTTGGTCCTCAACGGTTATCACTGCTCCAAACCGGTCGCAAGATTGCCTGGGATCTTCAGGAAAGTACGTTTAATAGGGATGGCAGCGTCAGCCAAGTCTACGTCCGGAAGTCGGATGATGTGCGCTGGAGGGATGCGGATGACGAACCGATGAGTCTGGTCGATGGCATAATAGAGCTGGTATGGTTCTCTTGAAAAGCACCACGAAACATCGTATGAGTGATCAACATGAAGAGGCTTTCTCCATTCTTCGCTAGTTAGATTTGAACGTTCGAACAAGACTCTATGTCCTCGAAAGTCGATGCCGGCTTACGGGGACCTACCGCCATCTAAAGAAAGTTCGGAACCTTGAGATATCGCCATGATTGTTCTTGTCGACAAGAAGACTGCATGCACGTCGTGTCGTGCTTTAAGTCTTCCGGAGCTTAATCTCGCAAACAGCTCGAGAGCCTATACCACCGTAAGCTACTCCTAACAAGCTTATACTACTTGGTTAGATAAGGGCCAGACTAGTTTTGGGCAGATCGAAGAAAAGGGAATCTATTAGGAAAGGATTACCTAACGTACGCCTTGTCATTGGCGTTTATATGTGTATATAATTGGAACCTATATTAGACTGTCACGACATCTCTAGGTTTAAAATCTATGGCGAGGACATTCGACCACAACAGTAAAAGTACCGCGAAGAGGTAGAACAATAAATGACAGTCAAATGTGAGCAATGATAAGGTTGTCATAAAGCTGCCTAGGGAAATTGAAAATAGTGAGTAGTGGAGGTAAACCATGCTGATAATTTGTCGAGGTACATGAGATAGGTTGCTAAAGCTCAACTCTGCGAAAGTCAATCGTGCCTGGAGAGACCGAATGTAGGCGAGGAACCTACTATTCCCATGATTCTGACGAACATGGGCCTCTCTCTTGAATTCAATGCTCATAGTTGCGCTTCTATTATGGTATTGCCAGAGACCTGCTTCCAAACACTGACTACCTGGAACCCAGTATTGTATAACAGATCATCACACTGATCCTCTGTGGCAATCATATAAAAATCAGAGAGCATTAACATCGTGTCGAACTCTGCCCATTCTGGACGCAGACCTTCTTTTGGAATCTTTTTATCAGCAATTCTCAGCTTTGAGTGTTATCTGCGTACGGCGGGGAAGCATGTTCGTTAGACTTTGCACTGCATCGTGTTTTGACAAGTCATGCAATCGAAGTTCAAGGAATAAGCTCGAGCACCTGCGATAAGTTCTGATTGATCTTACGTTGGAGTAGATTTATTACGGTCTCCGAATCACTGACCTTTCACAAGCTTTGGTTTGAAGAAATCCATTAGCACCACGCAACAGGTGTATTGGCAATGACACTCGGTTGATCTGAGCCGCAGATTCGGGCCATATTTGTTCCTCTAGCAAGCATGGACATGGCCTTGATCAGGCTACAGTGTGAGATTCTTTCAATTAGATATAGCTCTACTTAACAATCAGGGACCCGGCGTAAGGACTAATCATGAGCTATAGGTCATCTAAAGTTTCATCAAGAAGGCAATATTGTATCGGTTCCCTTCCTCTAAATCACCTCTTTCTCATACAAAACTCCCCCATATGTTACTTTACAAACCTGAAGCCCACAGAGCAATCCCACCAACAATCCATGGAAATGTCATCCGCACCATCATAAGCGAATTAAACTCTTTCAGAAGATCGATCGTCTTCTGCCGATCGCTGGACGAATCCTTCTTCTCTACTTCCATACCATCCGGGTGGGCTATTGCAAGCAACTTATTCGAAGGCCCCAGCATCATCGTCCACACCCACACCCACCCAATCGGCATTATCCCCACCGCTGAAGCCCAGAGTTTCCAGGGCAAGCCATCCTTGTTCTCCTTGTGTCCGACGTAGGCGAGACCGCCGCAAACGAGGATGGTCGCCAGATCAGTTACCGGCACTGTTGCAGAGAGAGCCCAGTAGTAAAACTCCCATTGTTTTGCGGCGTCTTTGCTCGACTTTTGCACTATTGGGTAGATTGAAGGGAGCAGGCGGTAGGCGGTCGTCATGGAACCGGCGTTCCAGAGACTGCCGACTATTGCTACGCCTTTCAACGCTGGGAGGTAGGCAGCGCTGTGTTGAAGTGTGAATTCTTGAAAGGGAGACATTGTGAGGCGACGGGGAGCAGCAACGCTATTGAATTGACTTGGAAAGTCCTGGGCCTTGACAAACTTCTCAGAAGGACGCTTAAGGCAGTAAAGGCTTTTGTAGACGGTTTTCTAACAGCCACGGTCACAGCCGAGCTTTGAGAGTACTTAGAAACTATGTAGCTTTCGAAGTAACCCTGGAGTCCCGTGACGAGTGCGACTCCATGCTGATATAAGTCAACGTGTAATGTTGACCCATGAGTAGCTGCAATTTTGTCCTGTTCAGCCTTCTCCGTTTGGGGAAAGAGCATATCCGTTACGTATACGGCTGATATTATTGGAAAATAGAGTTTGGAACCATTCCAGACGAACCAATAGCTCTTACTCGGGGGCTGGCTGACGAGGAGACGGGAAACCCCGGTCAGCCAGCCCCGAGCAGAATCGGTCGTTCTAGATGAGCGGAACGGCAGCGATAGAATCAGCCACAATAAGCCCCGAAATTAAGAAACATCATTTTTCTAAACACGCCGGGGTAGTATTAAAGAAAATGACGACTCGTTTTGATGAAGAATCAAATCAAAGCTGGCAAGAACATTCAGTTGATGCTATGGATGAATCCATGTAGTGAGTAAATGCTGGACGTGGTGCCAGAAACATATTTAGGAAATAGCAGCAGCGATCACATAATTTGAACAGCAGTGTGTTTTCGAGATTGATACATTGATATCTGATACGACATGAAGGTGAAACAAAACCTCCGACAGGTTAAAATTGCAGCCCCACCGCGGAAGTCATCTTCTTAACTGCACCGAAGAACTCCCAAAGTCCCATCGTCCACCAGGTTCTTTTAGTCCAGCCTTCCTCCCACGGTAGTCTCTCATCTTGGAAGATGGCTTTGACATAGCTGCACGGGATCGTCTGCCCATCGCCGAAGCAACCCATCATCAATGCGACTTGTCCGCAATTGACTTGATGTTCGGCTGGTCCATAGACTAGATTTGGATTGTCTTTGAGCTGCTGTTCGATACGGCTCTTGATGAACTTGCTCAGATCCTCGACAGCGAGGGTCTTGCCGCCGTCAGAAGAGAATGACAACATTTCTTTAATCAGATCTTGCTGTGGCTTGTTGTTGCCCTCAGGCTGATCTACATCTCGACGTGTAAGAGAGATGTCATGCTCAATTGCGCCGTGGGTAGCAAGATCCTCGAGATCAAGATACCGTTTCCCATCGCTAATATGACCAAGCTTCCAGCATCCGAAATAGTCGAAAAAGGTATAAGGGTTTTTGAGAAGGCTCCAGAACCTCTGAAAGAAGGTGACTGGTTTCTTCAGGTATGCTTTGGCCGGATTTTGAAACTCGAAATAAGTCGGTTTGGCGAAGACGGAACCTAGAAGCGGGCTCATGCCGACATGCCTCATGGATGCGTTAAGATCCTCCATGTAAATTTTGCGTCCACTGCGTTCGATGTAGCCATGGTTGGCAAGAGCGTTGACGACGGGGCAAGGACTCCGACTCGCATTTGGAGGCGCTGGCTTGTACTGTCCGGTTGGCACTTGCTGGGAAGACATTTTCGACAGAAGAGTAAAGAGCTGCTCACGAAGATGGGAAGTGTGAAACCCAAATTTGAAAGAAAAGGTGCCTTCAAACGGGTTACTGAAATTGACTCGAGCACTTCTTTAGGATTCAAGGACAAGACGCAACTGATAGCGAGACACCCTTTTTTGTCGAGGCGCTGCGTATTCGCCGAGCCGAGACTTTGCCATCGATCTAGGGCTGCATGTGTGGCGTTAACCTGAGCCTTTTCCATGTCTAAATACTGCCTTCCAGTAGTCTAGAGTAATCTTAGACAAACTCATGTCTCAAAGTTGCGGGATGAAATGAAAGTGTCACGGGCTGGCCCGGGGTGACGGACACTAGCCCGCTCAAAACGTGTGCTACTTATTGCTCACTTCCACCTCAGCTTCATGGTGACAGCCAGCCACGAACCTATATACCCGCTCAGTATCCCTCCACTTTCCCTTTGAGGTCACCTAGTAAGACTCTTGGCTTTCAGCTATGTCTTCCAGATTCCGAGCAGCCAGCCGTTAGCTACGGTGGCATGTCTCTGAACAGCTGTGGCGCGCTGCGTAGCCGCACGCCACCCCTCTCATTGCAATCGGCTTGCTCCTACGTATTGAACCGGCAATCAACTACAGCCGATAAATGAAGGCAACTCAGCCGTTCCTTTGTTCTTGGCCGCCTGTGGAACGCGTGGCTGATCAAGTGATACAATGAAATTGACCTAGCGAGGGCCTCGATGACAGTCACGCTGCACACTCCCACATGTAGAGTATGATTAGCTCAAAATCAACATCAAGAATGCTCCGGGGACTTTCTTTCCGGATGCAAGCGTCGTGGCGTACCCAACCTCGCGGGCCACCGTAACCCTAGGGAGAAAGTTCCAGTAGTGAGGGTAATGCAGGGTATTAAGTTTCATCGTCTTCTCTGAGTTGTGGCGCGTCTTCCATCTCTCACACACCACTCATGACCAGTACTACTCTACCGGCTTGAATTCTCGTGTAGTAACAGACGCCTACCATGGCGCAAATTCGCAGCAAACAGGATGAAGACTTGATACAACTTACCTTGCAGCTCAGAAATAGGAAAGATAATGATGAGAAATATGCAAAGTTTCGAGGAGATAATCTCATCGGCGTATGTGTGAACACTCTTTTGCGGGACTTGGTACTGATATATATGCAGAATCATATCGTCCCCAAAGTCGGCTTCTTTAGGGATCTTGTGACAGTATTGCAACCCAAGAATTGGCCTGCGCTAAAGCAGATTTTCGGGGGGTTCATCAGAGGCACGGGACTCGATGTAAGGTGTCTGAACAGTGCTTCAATGGCTAATTCTAATATGAGAATAGGGAGAAGGTCTCGCAACGATTGCAGGCAGTCTGTCTAATTATAGTGTTAACCGACAAGAACTCATCGATGGACAGGTCAAATCAAAGTATGACAAGATGTTGCACCGTATGTTTTCGGACACATGAAGCGTGAAGGCATAAGATAATCTGATTTCGAACAGCGCCGTTGACATATCTTGGTGACGCTTTCCAATACCGAAGCGCAGACGGCAAGTTCAACAGCGCCCTCAACCCACATCTTGGTCAAGCTGGTGGTCCATACGCCAAAACGGTGCCCTCAAAAACTGCGCCTCTCGGTGCTCTCCCTGACCCTAGCGACATCTTTGACAAGCTGATGGCAAGGGAAGAAGGTGGTCGCGAGAGCAAGTCTGGCCTTTCTAGCATGCTCATCTACCACGCAACTATCATCATTCACGACATTTTCAGGACAAATGATAACGACAAGAATATCTCCGACAGCTCGTCCTATCTTGACTTGTCTCCACTCTACGGATATACGATGGAAATGCAGCGTAAGGTTCGGGATAGCAAGTACATGCGCGGTCTTCTGAAGCCCGACACATTTGCGGAAGACCGGTTGTTGAGACAACCACCCGGGGTTTGCATCATGCTTGTCATGTACAACCGGTACCACAATTACGCCGCAAGACAACTCTATCGGATCAATGAGAACGGCCGCTTTTCGGTTCCAAAAAAGTTCTCGGATACTAAGCTGGTGTCGCTGGTGAAGGCCTTCGGGATTCCTCATAACAAATGCCACAAGCAGTGCAAAAAGTACGAAGCTGCCTGGAAGAAGTACCAAGCAGCGAAACCGGAAGGAGACGAGGCTACTCACACCGAAGAGTACAAAAGTCTGATGAAATGCAAAGATGATCTCGAGCTTCTTCTCAAAGATGTACATTGCGAAAAATGTAAAGCGCAAGGCGACGAATGTAAAGCGTTCAAGTCCAAACGCCAAGCCTTCGAAGCTAGCTACGATGCGGCTTGGGCTAAATTGGACAATGATCTTTTCAATACCGCTCGCCTCATCACCTGCGGAATGTACATCCAGATTTCAGTACACGACTACTTAAGAGCGCTGATGGGCTTCCATCAGTTCGACACCAACTTCACTCTTGACCCGCGCAGTGATTTCGATCACAAGAAGACAACTCGCGGCCTTGGAAACCAGGTGACTGTTGAATTCAATCTGCTGTATCGCTTCCACTGTGCGATCTCGCTCAAGGACGAGGAGTACACCAACGAATTTTTCCGCACACAGCTGAATATCGATGACCCAAGCAATGTCTCCTTACCAGTGTTCCTCGCAAAGATGGCTGATATTAAGACGAAAGCTGCCAAAGATAAAGCTGCAGGCATCAAGGCACCTGAGCCATGGGAAATGACGTTTGGCATACCAGATGCATCTGGCAACAAAACATTCGAGAACACTTCTAAGCATTTCGAGCGTAACAAAATCACTGGCCTTTTTGATGACGAAAAGATGATCAAGACCCTCACTTCGGCTATGGATGACCCTATTTCCAACTTCGGACCTCGGAACACCCCCAAGTGTCTCAAGCCGGTGGAGATCATGGGCATCCTACAAGCACGTAAATGGGAAGCCGGCACCCTGAATGACTTCAGGGACTTTTTCGGTATGGAGAGACACCAAACATTCGAAAGCGTGACCAAGAACATCGACATTCAGAACGCACTGCGAGATCTCTATGAGCATCCCGACAAAATCGAGCTGTATCCTGGTATATTTTGCGAAGCGGATGAGTATATGGGATTGGACCCAGGCCCAAGGGAGGCGAGCTCTGCGTTGTGGACCGCCATCTTCTCGGACGCCATCACCCTCGTCCGCTCAGACCGTTTCTATACCGTTGACTGGAATACCAACTCCCTTACATCATGGGGTATGAAAGAAGTTACGCCAGACAATGAGGTCTGTAAGAGCTCAGTCTTCCACCGTTTGATCCAACGCGCTTTTCCAGGCTGGTTCCCATACAATTCTATCCGTTTCTTCCACCCCTTCTATACGGAGAACCAGAACGAGAATTTTGCAGAAAAGCAAGGCTACGGTCCCGAATTTGTTACGTCACCGCCGAATAAGCCCCAGAAGCCACTTCATCTTACCAAATTTAACGATATTGCCAAAGTCTTGAACGATCAAGGGAAGGTATTTTGCCATCCTGGCCTACACCACAGCGCGAACTTGCCAAAGAAGATAAACGAGGTCTTGAATTCAGATCAGAAAAACCCTACATTTACATCTAAAACTCTAGATGACTACTTTTCAACTGTCAAACCAGATTTGAAGAAGTATCTTGACGAGCTGATGTGCTCTATCATCAAGAGAGAGTCCGTTGCTATGACAAACTCAATCTTCCAGATTGACGCTACTAGGGAGTGAGTCCAGCTAGTCAAGTTTTGACTATCTGCAAGCCTCGACTAACCTATGCACAGTTTCGCAATTCCAGTAGTCACGAGATATGTGGCCGACTTCCTTGGATTCGGCCATAAGTTGCGGACGGATTCCAACGTGAGAAACTGCTACACAGAGAACGAGATCTATCAGCACATCACGAATTGCCAAATCTTTCTGTCGTATAATGCGGACGAGACAAAACTGCTGAAGCGCCGCAAAGCCTTCAAAGCTTCGATGGAATTTTTGACCAACTTGACGCAGCGTGGGAATATATTTGCGGCGAACCAGTGGGAAATCACGCAAGCCTTGTTCGGAAGGAAGCGAACGAACCAGATGACAAAGCTTGGGTTCTGGACTGCCAAGCAGGTATTGGAGTACGAGAAGGATCCAGGCAAGGCCGCCGCCATACTCCTGCTCATTTGTCTCGATTTTGCGTACAACTCGGTCGTTTCGGTACGCTATCTTAGATACTCGCGTTTTACGCCATGCTGATTGTCAATAGTTTACCGCCGTGTTGGACGACTACATGACTGATTTGTACAATGCCGCCGATCATCCAGCACATGATGCCATTTCGTCGAAGCCGCCAAAATGGATCACAGTTCAAAAATTAGCCTTCAGCACCACGCTTGAAGATGAGCAGGAGCTTGAAAGCATGGTCCAAATGGCGTCTCAAGAAACGGTCCGACTACCTATCCTGCGCAAGGTGATCGCGGATGCGAAGTTGCCGTTCGGGAACGTCGTGAAAGGACAGATGGTCCTTCTCGACCTTGTGAGCTCACCAAACGATAAACAATTGGCACCTATAACTTACATGACTTTCACAGAACAAGGCAACTCTCGACGCAGAGGAAGCGGGAAAAGCCGACGAGATCAAATTCCTCACTTCACAACTTAGCATCGCCGGAAAGCTTGGTGTCTTCCAGCCTAGACGCTTTGCTGTCCTCGCCTTAACAATGATGGTGAGATTCATTGCACAGATGAAGAATCCGCGCCGTGGTCACGACACGCAAGGAAGACTTAAGAAAATCCATCTCGGCGAGACGGCCGAGGGCTACTCCAACTTCACGGCGCCGGGAAGGATGCACTGGATCGCGGAGCAAGTTAGACGTCTTCCCAAAGGCCATGCTGATAAGCATATATTCACCAATACAGTCTTAAAGCCAGACACAGATACTTATCTCACGCCTAACTGGGATGAAATGGTCCCATTCCCAATGACGTGGAAAATTCGTTTCGACGGCTTTGGCAAATCGAATTACTCCTCAGAAGGTCCTTATTCTCACCCGTATGGTAGGGTCAAGACTGTTGTGCTGCCGGATGATAGCCCGCCGTGGTATCAGCCGCAAGGCGCCAGCCATGTTGGAGGGGCGTTTGCTGATGTTGGTTGTGTCTGCGCTGCTGCGAAGGATGCCAAATCTCCAGAAGAGAAAGAGAAAGAGACACATGACGAGGACTGTCCTTGCGTTGACCCAGCAAAGAAGCTGGTGTCTAAAGCAATAAAACTTTCGACTGGATGTGGCCTGTCAGACAATGTGGTACACAAGTAAAACTCGAGTTCGCTTACCTTGTTCTGAGAATGCAGTGAGATATAATATATGGGTTTCGTTTCCCATGCATACGCGAATTCTCGCCTCTGAGGTCTGTTTAGTGAAAAACACTGACCAAGCTCAGTATGTGCTAATGAATGGACGATTGAAGTAGGTACTATTTTATTTCAGAAAGTATTGAAGCGTTTAAATAATGAGTTGGGGAAGCAAGGTCTTACCCCTGCCAGCAGTCAAGTGACTTATTTCGCTGTTACTTAATTCACTTTGTTCGCTCCACTTAGCTATTACTATTACAATACAAGAATGGCTACCCCTTCATTCTCAGTACGTTCTCAGGCTCTGGAGGCTTCTTTTTGTGTGTATGCTACGTGATATCTTGATTGGGTGTTGGTCAGCAGCAGGTACTGCTGCCCTTTTTCAATAACCTCTTGACTACAAATTTGAAGGTTTATCAATCTATGTTAAAGTATAGTGAAAGCGGAAGGAGGTTTCATTAACATACTCCTCAACGCCATGCAATCTTGTAAGCTCGAATGAGCAAAAACCATCATAGAGATTTGTCTCTGTAATGTGGAGAAGTCAGGCTTTTCTTCCCACTGAGTCCAATAGGCCGTGATGTGCGAGGTACATTAGTAGTGTCCCTGAAAGTTACTGGTTTCGGATGATTTGTGCAATCTGCGCCACTTACAATTGGTTATCAAACAGACTAGGTATGGCTAGACGCGACACGTCAGATAGGAAAGTAAGGATATGATTAAGCGTACAATCAGAAAACAGTGTCAATAAAATCTTAGACCTCTCGGCCTCTTAGAAGAATTGCTATCCATTACCTCTTGCACACTGTTCGAATTCAAACAGACTATAAAGAAACTGATAGATTGATCCCACAATTACCAGGAGGTTTGATTACCCAACACTTTGCAGTAGAAGAGACATTCAATTTGTCTTCCTAACCTGAGGCGTATATTTGAATACCAGATAGCTATTTCAACCCTTTCCACGTCTAAACCTTTAAAATAGGTTGCACAGATGAGTAATTGTCCATGATCAACTTGGCTTTTACCGCGCTGCGGGGCTTGAAGTCCATGTAGAATGGTGATGGCTCAAGAATGACGTGTGAGTTGGTCGATTGAGTGTCAATTGATACGGGCTCACCAGTGCGCGGGCAAATCTTCTGAGACATGTTGAAGCCCCATAACACAGAAGCACCCGTGACAAACATTTCATCATCTACAATGTCCTTGCCTAAGCAGGTGCGGCGTCCCCAGCCAAAAGTGTGCATGGACTTTCCGTCGCGAAAGTTGGGATATTTGGTAAGCGGTTCTTGGTATGTTGGCCAGCCAGGCTCAAGATATCGATCCGGACGGAAACTCTCGGCATCGGGGTATTTCTCCGGTACCCGGTTGATGCTCCTGATTAGATGTTAGTCTTCGTAGAGCCAATTTCGGCATTGAACATGTATTACCATTCACAAGCTAGAATGATGGTGTCTTTCTTTATTGTGACCCCACGGTATTCATCGTCTCGTTCAGCTTGGTGAGGCACCCCTGACAAATAAATCAACATGTCGATCACCTCCGGAAATCATTCAGACATACCTAGTGGGACCCCAGACCTCCATCGAATAGTTTCCTTCAGGCAAGCACGCACCGTGGGCAAGCTTGCAAAATCGTCAATGGTTGGGAAGCGGTCTCCGCATACACGGTCGATCTCTGCCTGCGCCTTCTTCTGCCAGTAAGGATGTAGCGCCATAGCCATGAGAAAGAACTTTGTCGGGCCTGAGATCGTTACAACACCGACAAGATTGAAGAACCCGATAGTGCATGAGGCATATATTTCCTGATCTTCGTCTTGCTCCAAGGACCCGTTCTCGCGTTGCACCTGCTCGATGTATCGATAGGCCCAAGTGTCTGAAGGAAGCTCACCTCGCTGAAATTTTTCCTTAGCGATTTGATAATTATTCAGCCACCAAGCTCGCTGTGTCGCCTCGCGCTTTCTTTCAAAGGACTTCCAAGGATTGACCGGATCTGGAATGTGCCACAATGGAGTCAAAGTATTGACGATTGGTCCTGATACCGACATGCAGTGGAGTGTGCAGTCAGCACTCTCGCCATTCATCTTGCCTTGCGACGCTTCATCCCAAGCCAAGCGACTCATGATACGCCCACAATGCTCTCTAGTCGAGTCAAGAAATTTGGCAGGATCGATGAGAAGATTCATGAGATATCGTTTACACTCGGCTTCAATATGGCCGTAGAAGTGATGCTTGTGAGCATCGGCCATTGCTGCATGTACCCATTTTCGTTGGCGACTCCATATATCTGAAAAGAAAATATTCTATTAGTAGCCGTTCTGAATTGCATTGAAGCAGTGAAGCATTGGATTCTTGTGGATGTTAGTTAGGGCTTACCATGACGATCCATCAGTGCAACATATGCAGGGCCTTGTTTATGCTTGAATAGTGCTCTAATTTGGGGACGGCCCGAGTAAATGTGTCCTCTCTTTATGAGCAGCTCTTCTGCAATTTTCTCATCTGAGACGATGATGAAGTTCTGATTCAGCATCTTCGTTTGGTAGATAGGTCCATATATATCAGCCCACTCTTTAAACTTCAACCACATTGAAAATCTCGGGAGGTCATGAACACGGCCGACGATGGGATAGAGCTTTGGCCCTGGAAACTTGGTAGCGGGTCCTAGCTTCTTCGTCCTCCATTGAAGAATTTGCTGAAGGACGGAGAATAGGAGACTTGGAATAGCCAGGTATAGAAAGACCACTGATAGCTCCATGTTTGTCAAGTTTTGAAGGGCTTGGCTAGGTTTGGTAAGGTAACGATTAGGTGACAAGAGTCTCAATAGTCTCAGAAGTTGAGGCAGGAAACCTCTCAAAACGCCAAGATTGAGATTTCCAGGCTAGCTTTGAGACTGTCACTACTTATATCACCATGGTTCGGACTTCGTTGGAGCCCTCCTTTGGAAAACTCGCAACAAACAGGGGTATCCCATTTTGAGGATATATATACATCCCTCCGATGCTTGTCACTAGCATGCGCTGTCGGTACCGAGATCATCTGTTTCCTGTCACGACCTCGGCTGTCCGCGCTAATTGCTCCCAAGACCAGCTTGTTTGGTAAGGTATCCAGGTCCATGGGTAAAGTTTTGCAGTCAATAACGAGTCAGAGAGATTATGACTGCAGTCCGGGGACTTCATGGGGAGCCTTGTCGTTGATTATTGAAATTAACCATAGTGGTGCGAGTCCGTAATTTATTCAGGCTATATTTGAACGTCACGCATGTACTCATTTGAAGGTACTTCTGGGGATGTAAAGTACCAATGAAAGTGCTGAAGAGCATATTTAGAATTCATTCAGTGACGCATTTGAACCTATAATCGAGCCTTCACGCTGGATTGAGAGATGATGCAAGTCCTTGAGACATTGAACACGACTTTTAGAGCCGGATTCGTGCTCGAAGATTATTCTGACTTTTGGAAAGCATTGACTCCAAGCGAAGCTTAGTCTGTTGGAGAACTTGTGCTTAGGAACGGATTCTGGTTGGCACGTGTATTGATCAATAGACGCGGGACAAACAAGGAGATCATTGACATCCACTGAGGCTAAGGATCACTCAGAGCGTCTCATGCTTACAATCCATTGACTTGCATATATTAAGTATATCATCTCAAGAAAGAGTGTTTCGCATCTCTAGATTGTTCTATGCGGCGAGATGGCTGTTTGGGTATTGCAGGTGGGGATGTCCGTAATGATGTCCGGTCGTGAACTATACTGTCACAATATGCATTAACAAAGCATCGGCGAATTCGACCACGTACTGCCACTGTGGTACAAGTCCAAAAATTGGGCTACCATGCTGGTAACGTTTTTCGAGTCTCCATTACAGCGGTGACAGCCTAGGTTGGGACTCACCAGGATTGCTTACTTGTGGCATGCCAAGAGAGCTGGAATCGATATTCTCTGTGCTGATCAAAACCTTCATTGGCGTACATCTCTGGCTATTTAGCTTATCCACTTGTATATGATGTGCAGCGCAGTGTCCAGCTTGAAGAATTCCTATCGATTTTGCTACATGCTGAGAGTTTTGAAACTCTTCGGGCCAAGGGGATTGCCACTTCCCAAAAAACACACCAAAAGAGGCGGCAAATGAGCTTTACATCTCTGTCATGGACAAGCCACATAGAGCGATATTCAGAAAACATAACAACCTGAGTACGACCGCCCGCCTCGAGACTTGGTGATTGGCCATACAAGCACCAGCCAACCCAACTCGTTTACATGTTTAGCTTCGTGACTTGACGGTGATCATAAAGTATTCACAGATGAACATTGTACCAGCCTTGATAGGAGTGCATAAAAGTTTCAAGGGCTCAAAAGATGAACATGACTTTCGTCGCTCATTTCTTTCCCCCTGAGCAACCAACATTCCCTGCCAAATCGGAGGTGCACTTACATGTTTGGAGACTGATTACATAAGTCATGGAAGGATGCATGACATGCTGAAAGTGGAGCCATAGCCACGACTCCTGCTAAACCTGGAACCCCACCACAGCAACATGCCCCGCCAACCACAACACAGCACTCGATGCCCAACGGCGGGAATGAGGTCATCCAGTCCTTGATGCGCCAGCCAGACACGTGTGAGAATACCTACTCGAGGTAGATCTTGGCTTGTGAACTCGTCTCTTTCACGGAACCATGTCCTCGTGAGTCGCAAGCAACATCACCATCTGTCGCAGCAGCCACAGGCAACTGACAACATGAATCCTAGCAGCAACCAGCTGACGTTGCCCTTCCGCAAGTCGACACACATCTCCCTCTCCACTGCCCTTCGGCAGTACATCTCCAAGAAATATGACCAACACCCGGATATGTTTCGCCATGACCTCGAGGTGATCGACGCACTCCGCCGTGATGCAGTCAACGTGCGCGAGGCCCATCCTAGTGGTATCAAGAAGCTGCAGGCATACGCGGGCCAGTTGATGTGGGTGTCCGGAAAATTCCCGATAGATGTATGTGCAGTCGGATCCATAGCCCTACCCGTTAAGACTTGTCTATAGTGCATACTGACGAGGATGGTAATGACAGATTGGCGCAGACTTTACCTGGTATCCGGCACTAGGATACAACACCGAGCGGCCGTTAGTACAGAACAATCTCAAGTACGAACTTCTCAATATACTATTCAACCTGGCCGTCCTCTACAGCCAGCTTGGGTTGGCATCAAATCGCGGATCTCCCGATGGTCTCAAGACCGCAGCGAACTACTTCAACCAGGCAGCCGGCGTCTTAAGCCACATGAAGACGGCAGTGCTGCCAGAGCTGCGCATGCCTACACCGCCGGAAGACTTGGACGAATCGACACTAGAGTCTCTGATGCAACTACAATTGGCACAGAGCCAGGAGTGTTTCTGGCAAAAGGCCGTTCTGGACAAATACAAGGATGCGAGCATCTCCAAGGTAGCCGCTAGGGTTAGTGACCTCTACAACCTTGCGGGCGAGGCAGCGATGAAAAGCGAGGCTATCAGCAGTAGCTGGATCCACCACATGAGTGCGAAGCACCATCATTTTGCTGCGGCGGCGCAGTTCCGGGCAGCATGTGACTGCCTTGAGAAGCGCAAATACGGGGAGGAAGTAGCGCGGTTGAAAGACGCCGTGACGTGTGTGGACGAGGGTCTGAAGGAAAGTAGAGGCGGTTACCTCAGCAAAGCCGTCCTGGATGACTTGAATGGGCTAAAGAAGAGACTAGAGGACGATCTCCAGAGGGCAGAAAGAGATAATGATATGATCTATCTGAGTAGGCACCCACAACATGTTGCCTTCTGTTCGATTGCTAACAAATCAAGATCCCGTTCCCGCTAAGTCGGAACTCAAAATTCTCGAGCGCGCAAATATGGCTGTGGCCCGTATCCCGCCGCAGTTAGCCAATCCTGGCGATTATCTCGGTGACCATGCAGAATTTGGCCCGCCACTCTTTCACAAACTTGTACCTTACTCGGTACACGTGGCCGTGTCGATCTACGAGGAGCGTCGTGACCGCCTTGTGAATCAAAACATCATCCAAGAGCTTGAAGTACTTACCGAGCGGTTGCACGAAATACTATCCAGCCTCAACCTTCCTGGATCGCTACAGGCACTGGAAAAGCCGCTCGGCCTCCCTGGCAGCCTGGTTCAACACGCTGAAGAGATCCGCCAAGGTGATGCGCTGAGCCGAATTCAGCGGTCTTTCGCAGATATTGATAAGCTGCGGACGGCAGACTGTGCGATTTTTGACGAAGGCAAGGCACTGCTTGCCGCTGAGGAAGAAGAGGATAACAAACTTCGAATGAAATACGGCACGGAACGGTGGAATCGCCCCAACGGCAGATCTGATCCCCACGGTGTCAAGCTGTGGGGACAGGCAAACGAGATCGAGGGCTACTTCGCATCTTCTATTTCTAGCGATGGCGTTGTGCGTGATAAATACAACGCGGTGGAATCTACCTTGACCATTCTTGCAGGTCCTGACCGCGGCATCATGGATTTTGTTCCGAGCAGCCGCAAGACAGAGATCCCGGAGGCTGTGAAACCAGCCTTGGGAAGGCTGCGTGGGGTGTACAACGATGTGCTGCGGCTAGAATCACGCCGACGCAAACGCGTGGAGATCTTACGAGAAAAGGCTCGAGCAGACGATATCAAACCTGACATTCTCAAAGAGGCGGCACGTCTGGAACGAGCATATCCAAATACGCCCATAGTGGCAGCGCATTTTGAAGATTTTTTTGAGAAGCGACTCGATGCTACTTACGAACCTGATCTAGAACTGATCGATAAAGAGACCGCTGAGCAGGAAAAGTTATTGGCGGACATCACTCGGGTCAACCGCGAGTTCGAGGCGCAGAAGAAGACCGCAGGTGACCGAGGGACAAGAGAGCGCGAGGCAGCGCTACAGAAGCTTGATAATGCTTATTATAAATATAAGGAGATCGTAAACAACGTAGAGGTAGGGCGTAAATTCTACAACGATCTAAGTCGAATCGTCGGTCAGTTCCGGGACCAGTGCCGGAATTGGGTCACCGAGAGGCGGAAGGATGCAAGAGCATTTGAGGAGTGAGTATACCCTCCAGCAGGCACATCTAGAGCTTTCACTAACATGTGTACAGCGAGCTCTCCATGCCTCCATTGTCTTCTCTATCACTGAACCAGCGCGGTGGACAGCAGCAGCCGCCCCAGGGTTACCAGGCCGCACCGAGCCCCTCCCAGTTCTATCAGCCGCCTCAGGTTGCCCGCCAGCCGCTGCATAGCCCCATTGAGTCAAATATCCAATCCTGGGCTGACAGCGCTGGAGCACCACAGCAACCTAGACCGGTCGCGCCGATGGGTCAAGGCATGTGGACGCCGGATATGGGTATCAAATTTGCGCCGTCTCCGGGCGGCAATGGCCCTGTGCAAGGTCCACCAGGGGGCAACGCACCAGTTGGGGGGAAATGGGAGCCGAACTCGGGGATAAGATTCGGTTGAGTTTGGCTGCCTGCTTTACCTGGGCGTAATTAGATCCTACTCTCTAAATGGCTTCGTGATTGGACAAGAAAGTCGCGAATGAATTTTGTTATGGATGCTGTAGCGGATTATATGCGTAGACTCATATTATCAGAAGCTCGTATTCGCTCATACTTACCATTGGCATTTTGTTATGGACTGATCGAAATATCATGGTCGCCGGATCTTAACAGTAACTACAATTCCCCAGCCAGTCATACTCTCCCAAACTCCAAATTCGTTCTCTCGCCGGAAGGTCACTTCATCTGGTCGTACAGTCATGGTTACACGGTCCTCTTCGCTCAGAGTCTTTGGCACATCCAGCGCTGGGGCGACTGGTGCTGGAGATGCACTTGATCTCTCGCTTGTGGTTGACTTCTTCCGACCTAAACCACCCCATCCCCAGCCACGTCGCTCCTCCTTTGCCTGCTGCACCACAGCCTGAACGTGTTTTCTCTCGACCTTCGGTTCTGTTCGTGGCTGCAAATAATTCGCTAACCGTCGTGCCATGGGTTCGTCTCGCCACCACCACCACGTCGCGGGGCCGGAACTAGAACTATCTCCAGTGTCCTCGTCCCATCTACCCCATTCATCAAACTGTACGGCTTTCCAGTCTCGGGGCCCGGGCTGGGAATCTATCTTCTCTTTCTCTCCCTTCTTACCTCCTTTCGCATCTGGACGTTCTGGTTCTACCCTGACAAGCTGCACGACCTCGCCCTCGCGCCGGCGCTCCTGCGCTCCGCTCAGTGTCCATGCCTTCGGAACCGCCGCCTCCGGCACGAATGTAAGCTCTGCCACGGGCGGGTTGCGGGCCATGCTGGCGAGGTCGGACAAGAATCCCTCTACGTGTGGTACCAGCAATGTTATCAGCTCCAGGTCCTGGGCGGCTTGCTGTGTAGAGTGTGCATATTGTGAGTCGCGAATGCGCGAGGGTAGTGTAGATAGATGTGTGGCCAGATGTGAGGTGTAGTAATTCGGGTTGGGACTCCTTAGATTGGTAGAAGTTGATGTTGACCCGATCACTTCGGTGTAGGAGGGAGGGGCGTCCTCGTCGTTGAAAACACCGTCCTTTGACATATCCGGCGACTTTCTGACAATGTTTTACGCTCTTATCAAGTGTCGCCGGTGGTTTGAGTCGAGCGTTGGGAATGAGATTCTCTATTGCAGATGCGATTTTGCACAGTGCTGTCGCTGTAACCACCCGCAAAGGCTCCGCTCTCGTCAGAGATGGCCGATTCTGCTCAGCTACACTTGGCTTTGATGATACTTTCACCCAAACAGAGTTCCAGAAGTTGTGTACCTGGAGGAGTCAACAGTGTCTCGGTGAGTGAATTCGCTCAATCGGTCTCCTGAGTTTACCACGTGGGCGCGTGATCGCTACGGCTGAACCTTGATAGCCACTCAGCAAGGCGCTCTTGAGCTTAACAATTGCTCACACAGCCTCGTGTAGTCTGGACGATGATCGGATAACCCTTCTTTCTTAGTTGTGGTCACGATTTATGATGCTCAATTGCCAGAGGAGATTGCGTCAGTGGCTATGCATCTGGATAGTGGGCCAGAGCCACTAAAACAGCCCAGAGGAGGACAAAGCTATGGGCCAGCTTCGGAGCCAGATAGGCCTTTAATGGAGACGGCTGTGTTGATGACCCGAATGATTGATCTAGGAATGGATTCACTGCTGTCAATGGATGTAGTAAAGTGATGTTGCGGCTGAAAGAAATGAGCCAACCCGTATTCTAATCGCCTGTCCACTCGGGCGTCAGGTGTCTGCCTAAGGGATGTAAAAGCGCTATAGATACCTGAGGGGCAAACTGCTAAGGCAGACACACTTTGATCGGAATAGCCGAGGACAGTACCAATGGAATCGAGAATCTTTCCGTAGTAGAAGGATCTGTGGCTATCCTGCAAGAAAGTATGATCCAAACCAACAGACTCACAGACGTATAATGGAAAGCGCAGCAGCTTCAGTCGCTCAGTAGATATCGAAACGAACGATGGAATAACCGTGGCAGTAATCCATAATAGATGCAAGATGCGCAGTCGACTGTGCTGGGAAGCCGAATGAAGCTCAATGACCTGTCCAATGGCGGAAGACGGGCGCCATATCCCCGGGAATGCCTCGCACTGCAAGTCTTCTCAAGATGGTAGGGCTCTTGAGGTGGTGTTGTTCTGGCTACCTGACCTGAGCTACCCTACCTCTCCACAGGAGGAGCAGTCAGGTTGTTTTTGGCGCATTCGAGTGCTGGGCATTCCAGTGCAAAGCCTTGTTGTGTTGGATCCCTGGCTTACTGCCTCGGAGATCTGCGATCTTCTGCCATGTAACACTTTCGCCCTCTCGCCCTCTCGGTCTTTGACAGGGGATAGCGAGGAGAGCCGAGTCGCGCATTTGACTCTCTTCACCGTGAACAAGGGCAGATCGGCAAGCAGGTTGGACTTTTGGAGTCTGGGCAGTGGAGCACCGCGCCATCTTTAATAGCTTGCTCGTTACCATGGCGCTGGTATGAGGCTCATTATAGTGGCTCCTGTCACACCTGGAGCCTGGCTCTTCAAGAAGGCAACAAGCACTTTCTTGAGTTTGCAGAACGAGGCAAACCTGGGGTAAGCCCTCGACATCCAATCGGCCCATTGAGGAAATGTTCTGGAAGGGTTTGGCTTCGTGATCATCCGTCAATGGGCGAAGCACAAGCGAATTTGGGACCAAACCTTCTTTCGATAGGTGCCGGTTTGCCGGCTTCTAGTAGCCAAGATACCTGATAGGGGCAGCACAACGCACAGCCACACACTAAAGTCTGCAAGGCGTTCTTTGGCCTAATCACATGCTCTACCCGCCTGGCGCAGTGTTTTGGAGACCGTCAAAGAGTTCCACTCCCTAAATCCACTTTCTTCGCCAGTGTTATACTGTAGATGGGCTGGTTGCAATGCCACTTCGTTGAACCTTGCTGCTTGCCCAGGCTGGGCAGCCTTGGGGTTGTAGGAAATGGCAATGGGCAATGCCCCGGCGTGCCATTCTGGTAGGGCGAGGATGCTGCAACCTCAAGGCAGACAGCAATTCTATTACCTAGTAGGATCAATGCCGCGAGATCCTCAAACGCCACACCTATCTCGTGTTCCCACGTATAAGTGGGAGCGATGTATCACATCCGATCTGAACAGCTGAAACTCGTCAGACCACTCACCGCGTAGCACATCTGCACAAGTCTCTACAGAATCATATCAGTCCCTCTTGCCTCACTGTATATTTTGCATCAAGACCCCTCATTTTCCTAACGTCTTCTTATTCTCCTCTCTGGATTTCGTCTCAGACTTTGAGCCTACCAGGGACCCCGTGTACACCAGTTAAAGTGCGCAAAGCTTCCTGATATCCAACTTCGGTCGGATCCACAACTTGTGGTATTGCAGCTCATTGCTTTTCGCCATAAGAACGGACTCGTCTCTTTCGCTATAAACTACAAAATAACAACCTTTTCCTCGCTTGGTTTTCCTTTGTCCAGAGGAAAGAGACACTACTGAGCATCTCAACGACCCCCTTCACATTTCTCCCCTTCGACTCACGACTTGCACTTTAATCAAAAGCCGCCGAGATGTCCTACAAGGTTGCTGCCCCCGATGAGTATCTTGCCATCACTGGCATGGGAATCAAGAATGTCAAAATCACAAAGGCAACATGGGTGTATCCCTTCCAGCGCTGCATGCGCTTCAGGTTAGTTGCGCAAGATGCAAGATTCGCCGAGTTCCTGGAACTAACACAAAATAGCGTGCAGCCACACGATTATGCCATGAATCTGCAGGCCATGACAAAGGAGAAGTTGCAGTTCCTCCTGCCTGTAGTCTTCACGGTCGGTCCCGATGTCAACCAACGCGGTGCAAACGCCAAGCGAGGCAACAAGGCACAGGACTTGATGGCTTCTGCTGGCGTGGAGGATCACTCTGTTGCTGGCAGCTCCGCTGGCATTGAGGCTCATGATCATGTCAGCGACCATCGGCGCGAGGATCGGGGAGACTCGTTAATGAAATACGCCATGCTCCTAGCAGATTCTGGTGCTAAGAAAGTCAACAACACACACCAATTCCTGGAGAACATCGTAAAGGGTATCATCGAAGGTGAAGTCCGTGTGCTGGTTTCCAGTATGACTATGGAAGAAATCTTCACTGAGCGTGAGGTCTTTAAGCGCCGAATCTTCCGCAATATTCAGGGCGAACTCGTAAGTTATCAAACTCACAATAAATACGCGTCCAAGACTATGTGGCTCATACTTTCATGACCAATGTAGGACCAATTCGGACTGAAGATCTACAACGCCAACGTGAAGGAGTTGAAGGACGCTCCTAACTCCATTTACTTCGAGTCTCTCTCGCGAAAGGCGCATGAAGGAGCGACCAACCAGGCTAGAATTGACGTTGCTGAGGCTCAGCTGCGTGGTAACGTCGGTGAAGCTCAACGCAAGGGTGAACAAGATCGTGAGATTGCCAAGATCAACGCCGAGACAGCCGTTCAGAAGACGGAGCGTGACATCGAGCGTGCCGCGGCAGAGGCTCACCTCTCGACCAAGAAGGCGACCCTGAACCGAGATGTGGACATTGCCCGGATCGAGGCAACTCGCGCAACTGAGGTGAAGGACGAGGAGCTCAAGAAGCAAGTCGAGCTAAAGCGTGCCGCTGCTGAGATGGAGCGACTGCGTGCTTCCGATGTCGTAAAGGCTACGATCGCCAGAGAATCCAAGCAGCAGGCCGCTGATGCAAAGGCCTACGAGATTGAGGCCGATGCTCGTGCCAACTTCGAGAAGGCCATGAAACAAACTGATGCCGCTGCCTATAAGACCACGAAGGATGCTGAGGCCACTGCCACCGCCGACTTCAACCGCACGACAAAGAATACTGATGCTGCAGCTTATAAGACCAGGCAGGATGCTGAGGCTTGGAGCTTCGCTGCTACAAAGAACGCCGAAGCCAACCTTATCAAGAAGCTCAGAGAGGCCGAGGGTCTCTCGGCTATGGCTGATGCCTACGGCAAACTGGCGCAAGCTTTCGGTGGCCCCGCTGGTTTGCTGCAGTACATGATGATCGAGAAGGGCACATATGTAGAGCTCGCAAAGGCCAACGCCACTGCTATCCAGGGTCTGCAGCCCAAGATCAGTGTCTGGAACACCGGGGCTCAAGCCGGCACCGAGGGCGGCAATGGTGCCCAGGGCCATGGCTCTGGCATTGATACCATGCGCAATGTTTATCAGATGCTGCCGCCGCTGATGACCACTATTAACGAGCAAACCGGTATCACCCTACCTGAGTGGCAGTTTGGTCGCCTAGCGGGTCAGATGAGCGAGGCCGAGAGACAGAAGGCCGTTGTCAATGGCCAGAAGGAACTTGATTAATGACTGTGTGTTTGTTTTACCGACTCCATAGTCGATACTGTCGATATTTCTTTGTTGTTCAACACACCTCAAGCATTGTTTAGTGGTTCAACTGACAAAGTACTTTGACACGCTCACTCTTAGCATTGTTTCAGTTGGAGGGCTATACTGTATTTGAATCGCGTTGCATAGATACCTCTTGTCATACTAGTCTTCTCATTTGTCAGATTAAATAAAGATTGATACCCTGCAAACCCTATCGATTTGCCACGCAACCTGTATTCAAATAATGATTGGAAAACTATGAGCTGGGAAAGTAACACTCGGGACGACGAGTAGCAAGAGAAAACATCATTCAATATCGGTATCTCCACACTTGTCAAGTCCATTACACGGCGGAGCCAAACTAATTTTACAAAGCGAGCCAGAGCATGACCTCGCTGGGAGTAGCTCTCCATGTCTAGGACTTAACGTTCTACTCGTGCTCGGAAGTTTGGATGCTTACATGGTGTGGGGCTATAGGATCTGGGCCCTCTCCGGCTGTCGGGCAGCTAACAGCTTCTGTCACATAAACCCACTGTGGAGTCTGTATAGCCCCGCAGGTTTTGACTCTTATCGCATTCCCGGTCAGACGACATTCCGTCTTAACAACTCCTTGGTTCCGGAGTTCGAATATCGCGTTGCTAATCTGCGGTGACGCATTGACAAACGTCTACCACACCAATCGATAAGGAGAGTCATGTTCTGCCTGGGACAGTCCATCGATTGCACAATAGCGGGGTTTACCTAGGAGGAAGCATGGAAGCGACAACAGTCTCTTCCCAGCCCTCGCAGCCACAGTTCACCGGTGCGCGGCCATATAAATCTCGCAGGAATCGGCCTTGTGACTTCTGCAGAGCTCGCAAAGCAGCTTGTAATATCGAGACACAACCTCCTTGCCAGCTGTGTCGCCAGAAGTCAAAGCCATGCACCTTTGTCAACGGGCCAGGTTCAAGACGTCGTCCTCCGCGACCGACTTCTATATTACCAGAGCACGCGGATGATGACCCCCTACCGCCCCAAGATGGACAAGAAGATTCGTCTCCTATCAGTCCGGGGCACGATCTCATGTACCAGGAGTTGGGATTCTCCTTTGACGCTATTGAGTCGCTGCCCGTTGACTTTGGGGGAGACTTACCAATGACGGAAACAAGTCCACGATTCCACCTGCAACCAGGATCTTTGCTTGATCTGGACGGTAATACATGGATGGATGTGATTCCCGAAAGTCATCAAACGCAATTTCCGCCTTCTGGCGTTTCCGTACGGGCTTCGCTGGAAACACAGCTAAGCACCTACCGGTTCGTTGGACCGTCCGGAGAACTAGATACGCATTTGCTGGCAAGGAGACGGTATAATGACATGCAACAATCCAATTCCCCATACACCGCGGTATTGTATCAAAGAACTGGGCCGATGTTCCCAGACGAGAACGAATTTCATCCTCCATCTGTTTTCACTATCAGCAAAACGCCGGATCAAGGCAAGCATCTCCCTGGACGGGGTCTGAAGCCCTTGGGCGAGCACCGAATGCATTTCAAAAGCTTGATTAGTAGCGATTTTGCACGTGGGCTTATACGACTCTCATATCGCTTCATAAATCCCACGTTCCCAATTCTGAGCGGACATCAGGAGCCATTATCAGACGAATCCTTGGATCACATGCCTTTGTCACTTTTAGCAGCGACATGCGCCTCAGCTCTACCCTTCACAATATATGACGACGTACTGTGCGTACAAGAGTTACACCCAACACTTGCATCAGAACTTTGGAGCATAGCCTGGGCCGCTCTTCAATTAGAACCTGATGTCCGGCTGGCCACTGTACAGGCTTCTCTCTTAGTCCTGCAACGCCAAGTTCGTGACGATTTTTTCACTGATGCGTCATTCGATTGGCGCCTTTGTTCCATGGTCTTGGCTAATTGCCAGACCATAGGGCTCAATAGAGATCCGTCATCATGGACTATTTTACCAAGTTGGGAGCAGAAGCTCCGCCGGCGTTTATGGTGGGCTGCTGTAATTACAGAATCATGGACTTCATTCGGACAGGGTATGCCAAGCCATTTGAATATGGAAGATGCCGACGTTTCACTTCTGGGAGTAGACGACCTGAACGAGGATGGCTATGATGAGAACTACCGTAATGACAAGCCGAAGGAGTCTCGATTCCATCACCTCATACTCCTTACACTGATTCTTCGAGATATTTACCGCGCGTTCTTCACCGTCAGCGCCATGAAGAAGACGACAGGCGATTTTCAGTTGGCACTTGAAACAGCCAAACCATTCCGCGCACGCTTGAAACAATGGCAGGACGATTTACCTCCCAAGTTGCAACTTTCGGGGAACGAATCTGTGCATCTCCGTGGTCATGGCCCAGACGAGCTTTACAGCACTGGTCCATTGAGACTCGCCTACATTACTACTCAAGTTACCCTTTTCAGAGCACTTCTGCGCCCCTTGGCGACCGCCTTGATAACGACACAGAATCTATTTGAGGCACCTACGTTCCTCGAATCAGACGCTTCAGTCGCTGTCGTCCGAGGCGCGGTTGGATGCGCGAAAGAGCTCGTCAAGTTTATTGAGGGTTTAACAACCGCCGATTGGGATAGTTTCTGGTTCACCTGTAAGTTTTTGCCGGAGCAATTTGTTTTTGTGGCGTTGTTCGTCGTGAAGGCGTGATTGCTAATCCTATAATCAGGGTCGAAACATAATTTTGCGATAGCTTCAACATTTCTGATGCATCTTCTTGTTATCACCCAACCATCTCAAATGGGCTTCATCGAGGGCTGTTCCCCACAACAACACCATTCGCAGGGACCTACAAATGGATCCTTTATCAATAGTCCCCCGAGTGTGGGGAGTCCAGGTTCTAGAAATAACAACACAAACCATGTTTTTACTGCTGAATATATGGAGTTGCAAGACCTCACGAAAAGGTGGAGATGGGCTTTACGCCTCGCAGAAAGAGGGGCTGGAGGACGAAAGGGGCTGATGAGTTCAAGTCTTCGAAGGGTGGAGGCTCTGTTTACTGAATGGCAAATAGGCAGGCAGGACATACGACGCGACCAAAGAGCCAATTGAGAGGAACCTAATTCTTATAGATATACACAATTGCATTCACGGCTCCGCCATCATACAGTACGCGGTCATTTAATTGCCTATCTAGTTTTCTAGAAGAGGAGGTTCTACAGCACCAGTCTGAGTTCCTATCCGGCCATAATGCTCAATACGTCTGTGCTTCTCAAATGCAAACACTCGTGTCTTCCCATCGCGACAGTCAGACAGGTCGATTGTAGCTGTTATTAGCTCGTCGTCCTTAGTCTTGGACTCAGCGATGATCTTTCCGTTTGGATGAACGATGATAGAGCTAGCAATAAGAAGGCCGCCGTCTTCGTACCCTGCCTTTCCAGGGTTGATACTGAAGCAAGCATTTTGATAGCTACCAGCCTGGCACGATAGTCTGTGGTGGAATATAGCAAGCTGTTCTTGCTCATCAACATTGCCAGGGAGCTGTGGGGCATAACCGCAGGTGTTGTAGCCCTGCAGTATAAGCTCAGCACCCTGTAGGCCATACTCCCTCCATGCTTCCGGCCAACGGCGGTCATTGCAGAGGAGCATCCCTAGAATCGGATCTCCCATACCATCACTTGCGCCTGAATGCCCGTTGACGGTTTGCTGCTTTAATGCGCCCTTGACTAGACCTGGAACTCGAAAAGCCTGGAAGCCGAGATTGCCATTGGCAAAATACATCTTCTCTAATTGCTCCGAATGATTGGGCTTGAGGACCGGCTTCGGAGTACCTGGCAAGTGCACTTTGCGATATTTAGAAAGAACAGAATCTCTCATAGCAGAGTAGTAAATCATCGTATTGTAGTTCGTTGTTTTGCCATCTGCGTCAGTCCAGCTTTCAGCATAGCCTAATGATATGTCTATATCGAGAGCTTTGGCACGGTCGAAGAGCGGCTTTGTCTGCGGATTTTGAGTAATTGCATGAGGCTTACTCGCCGACTCTGGCTCGAAGAACCTCGACACATCATCTGAGTCCGTAATGACATGGCGAGGGAAGAAAGTGGTGAGCGCAAGTTCTGGGTAGGCGACGAGATTAATCTTCGGAGAAGCTGTCCCGGCTTTCTCCAGTAAATTGAGCATGCGCTCCAGAACCTCGGATCGCGGCGTTGCAAGTTGTATAGGTCCTAGCTGCGCTGCAGCCACGGTCAAGATTCTTGAAGTTGCCATTTTGAATGCTTGCGGCGAGAGTGAAGCACAACTTCCCACGCGACCAAATGTTTCCAAGATAGCAGTTCTCAATCACAGTGCTTTGTATCGTCCTTTAATTGCTGACCTGTCGCGCTCCGGATGGCTTTGATCGGTTTGCACAACCCGCGTATTCAGTCACTTCGACGGTCTCGCGCCGGCCGAGGCTTGCTCTCGGCGTCTTTCTGAAGAAGTCGGCCGATGACCTAGCCCCGTCCCAGGATGCGCCAGTCTTCGCCGCCTGGCCGGTGTCCGACATGGCTGCTTATCTCAGTGGCCAGAGATGCCGAAGCCCCACCATCTTATCATGTTGGCCGACAAGCGTAGCAACTGCCTCCATTATCCTCTGTCAAAACATGATTGCTAAACAGAGTTAGACCAGATTTGCCCGTTTGCCCACGGTTGGTATTAGCTGCCATTAGGTGACAGCGGCAACTAGGCTTACGATATCCAAAGGAGGCCGACATCAGGCAGTGCTTGCTTCTCATCGTATGAGGCAGAATCGTACTGTAAACGTAGCCAGGAGCTTCGCCGAGAGATTACCTGTATAACATACAAGCGATTTTTGTTTCCTATACTTCAACTACGCTTACTCCGTCAAGTTCAGTCTTAATTAAAGAGCCACGTCAATGAGTAACATAATCGGCGGTAATGTTTAGTTTGAGTCAAATCTCTGATCAAGCGCAATAACCATCTACAATGTAGTTATCAACCACGACTACCAC